CTCTGGGCGCGCCCCCGTCTTTCTGCCTCTGTCTCTCTCTCTCTCTCTCTTTCCCTCCCTCCATGTCTCTCTCTCTCTCTCGTTCTGCTTCCCCCTCTCTCTCTCTCTACGTAAACCTATAATGGATCACTCTCTCTCTCTCTCTGATTATTCTCTCTCTCTCTCTCTTTCTCCCTATCTCGCTCCCCCTATCCATCTCTACCTCCCTGTCTCTATCTCCCTCTCTCTATATGTTTTTCTGTATGTGTCTACATGTCTCTGATTATGCTGTGACTGAATCCATCGGAGGCCACTCAGGCGCTGCAGACCTCAGTGTTCCCCCTACCTAAAGCAATATCTAGATCCCCAGGTATGCATGTCACATGTATGCCGATACACATATATATATATATATATGGACAGCCCCCCCCAGCACCCATTCTTCGTTGTTTTGCTTTCCACGTTGTCTTTCGCATCCCTTCCTCCGCTCCCAGAACTGGAGACACAGAGAGAGAGAGAGAAAAAAAAAGAGAGAGAGAGAGAGAGGGGGAGACTCGAGGGAGCGGCGATCCCTGTGAAATCACAATGTTTGCGAAGCCTGGGGACACCAAGCCCTGTTATTTCATTTGGATTTTTGGGATTTCTGGGTCAAGAATCCCAGAACCCCTGTGATTTCATTGGGATGTTTGTGATTTTTGGGATTTTCAGTCCCAGAGAAAAAACAAACGACGACGGGGCTCCCCAGGACTGGAGGATTGAAAATTCACAAAATCCCAAAAATCCCAATTCAATCACATGGGTTCTGGGATTCTTGACCCAGAAATCCCAAACATCCAAATGCAATGACAAGGTTTGGTGCCCCCAGGCTTCGCAAACATTGTGATTTCACAGGGATCGCCGCTCCCTCGAGAGATTTTTCTCTCTCTCTCTCTCTCTCTCTCTCTTTCTCTCTCACTCTCTCTCTTCCTCTGTCCCCCTCCGTTTCTGTCTCCCCCCTTCTCCTCCTCCTCCTCCTCCTGTGAACCAGAGAGAGGTACAGAGAGAGAGAGAGGGAGAAAGAGAGAGAGAGAGAGAGTGAACCGTTGAACGACCGATGCAACATGAATGGGTGCTGGGGGGGGGGCTGCGCACACACATATATATATATATATAGACGCATGATGTCTTTCTCTCTTCACACACAACAATGTATATACATCGCCATGCATGTGTACATATGCCCTCCTCCGCGGAGGCACCAACTCGTCGGCTACCGAGAGGAAGGCTCACAACCACCTTCCCTCAATCATTCGCTCCCTCCCCCCAGCTATCCGCCACCGTGCCTCGAGCCTCGGGTTGGAGTGTCCTGCCATCAACTGTGAATATATATATATATATATAAGGCCCAGACTTAAACATGCCCGATGTCCTGGAGGGTGCCCCGCGTTGAAGAAGGCGTCTTGGAGCTTACAGCGTGGCCATAAGACAACACCCAAAGACCCAATAAGTCCCCAGAAGGGCCCCGAGAAGGCCCAACAGAGCCTCAAGAGAGCCCCAAGACTGTCCATGAGGCCCCCGAGACGAACCCAAATGCCCCCCCCCCCACGCGCCCCCCCCCCCCCCAAAGACGAGCACATTTCGACCCCTCCGCCCCAAAAGTGGCCAACATATCCCCCTTGGGGATCTTGAGGCGCCCCCAGAAACCCCCCGAGAGCCCTCAAAGAGGCTCCTGCGAACCAGCCGGAAAGACAGGAATATGCATCCGAAACGTTCGGTGGCAACTCACGGGAGCCTCCCAAACCATCTGGTCTGCTCTTGCGAATCGACGCTAATCGACGCTGTATCGGCGCGAAACGATGCTGAATCGACGCTGATCGACGCTAAATCGACGCTGATCGTCACTAACCGACGATAAGTCGGCGCTACCTCATCGACTCCCAGACGCTTTTCGACGCTAAGGACGGAATTAAGGCGGGGGCGCGCAAACGTGGATTAGCGACTCATGGATTTGGCGCGCGGTCGTCAAATCCATGGATCAGGGGAGGTGCCCTCCCCAAGATGCGGCCGGTGCCGCCTCGCTCGGCGGCGGAAATCCGTGATTTCCCATGGAAGCGGGACCCGTCGCTAGTCCACGCCCCTTGCTTGCGATCGCCTGGTGAAGAGGGCACACCAGGCTCTCAATTTGCTGCCGAAAAACTTGCCGTCGCTCGGTTGTCCATTTCTCGTGCATTCGTCGGTTTCGTGCGCGTTTTTGTTTGCTCGATGGTCCAGGATCTTCCTCGATGGTTCTCGCCGAAAAAATGCACACGTCCGAGCGATGCCAAGAACAAAGCCTCCGGTCCACGAGCCCAAACACCGCGACGGGATGGGCAGACGGCCACTACCAGCTCTCAAGTCCGGCCACCCTCCGCGGGAGGCGCCACCTCGGCTGCCGAAAGGAGGGCTTCCCCACTCACTCACTCACTCACTCACTAACTCCGTGGCGCGCAAAATTCCTCTGTGCCTCTGCTGCTACAGCGAAGCGCGCGGAGACGCCATGCACCGTGCCGCGGCCGCTCCACTCCCGGTTCCGAGAAAGAACACACGGCATGGTCTGACGGCGGGAAGCCGCGACGGCCACGAGGGGGAGGGTTCCCCGGGCCACCCTCTCTGCGCTGTTCGTTCATTCGCTGCCTCCCCTGCTGCCTCCTTCCTTCCCTCTGCGTCCCTCCCTCCCTCCCTCCCTCCCTCCCTCCTACCCTCTTCTCCTCCTGCTCATCAGCATCGCCCTTGTCCTCGCCCCCACCGTCGCCCTTCTTCCTACTGCTACTCATACCTCGTCGTTTTCCAGCTTTTCCTCCTCCTCCTCCTCCTCCTCCTCCTCCTCCTCCTCCTCCTCCTTATCCTCCCCATCCGCGTCCTGGTCAACCGCCCCCCCCTCCTCCTGCGACAACTCCCGCGGCCTGGCAGAGGCTGCTCCCCCCCCTTCCGCACAAACACACACTTACTCATACACACACACACACATTCATACACATACACATACACGCACACGCACAAACACACATGCACGCACGCAACCACACACACACACACGAACGCACACGCACACACACAAACACACACACACAAACACACACACACACGCAGGCACGCACACGCGTACAGTCTGAAATGACTCTGGCATCTCATATAGCATCCACTTCCATGTCGAAGGAATGCGATATGGGGAGTGGATGGATAAGATAAGATCGATGTAGTGATCTTTCCAGCACATAGCGAACACTAAGGTAAGTGTCCGGTCAAATAGGGCGCGCGTGCCTTGAGCCAAAGGCAGCGGCTCGCAGGCTATACTCCCGATCCTCTATAACATCTCCCAAAGAGCTACCCTTAAAGTCGGGAGGGGGGGAGACGGAGAGTAAAGCCGCGCAGCCGCTAGGCTCTAAAAAAGGCCGCGCGCACAACTGTTTGCAAGGGAAACAGTACGCACAGTCTGGCCTATCACCAGACTGAAGGGCGAGATTATTCGCCGGCGAGTTTCCTCGCAAAACTTTTCCACGCACGCGCAGGATAGCCCCTTGGATATACAAGGGCTATCGGCCTGGCTAGAGGTAAGCCAAACAGGCTATTCCCCTCCAGGCAAAAGGGTATTAAAGCAAAGAGCCTGAACCAATCTGAACAGGCTCGTTGCCAAGCGTGAAAAGTATGGCTCGTTTCCGAGCAGCTATGAGGGCGCCTCTGTATTAGGCGCCCGTGCTGGCAAACTGGACCGCGGGGGCAACAAGGACAGACCAAAACTGATTCGACTTAGGCTTGTTTTTGTCCTCGGGACCTCGGAAGGGAACACACTGCTTCACGTCATACTTAAATGACTGAGTGCCTGACATCACTTCCAAAAGCAGCTCCCGATCGATACTCCCCTTTTGTATGCCCATCTGCGGTCATGTCTCTAGTGTCACACCACTGTACGTTATGCACTATACCTATATCCATGAGCTCACGTATCCAACTGATATGTCCCAGCAAAGTCCGTTCCGTCGGTCTATTAAGATCTTTGCTGGATAGCGATTTGTATACAGACGCAGCGTTTATAGTAAGGGATACTTTGATAGCCAGGCCTCCAACTTCACGCATATCTCGTAGTTGTCGTGGAGTAAGTGCTCTGGCCTTGAGCTCGTGGAGAGTGATGAGCGTGGGATAACACTCGTCAAGATTATGTTCAGCTGCAAGTGCCTCAGCGGCATAACTGGACCTCACCTGCAGTCGGTGTGATTTGCATAGTCCGTCGCAAAGGTGAATGACGGATTTGCCTTGAGGCGAGATTCCTCGCCGTCAAACGTTAGCCCCACGAATGCCGTAGCCCTTGGTTTCATCGCCCTCCTCCCCGGTGAGTTTCCGATGCCCCGAATCACTGTGTATGTCTACTTCACTCGTCGGTTTCATCCGAGGGAAGGTGATGCGTTTCGGGCTGCTGATCAGCTTTCGCGTCACAGCATTCAGTCGTCTGACTTGTAAGTTGGTGGGCTCTGGGATCTTCTGGAGAGAGACCACGTGCACCATAAGCCAGACTTGAATCAGAAGGGCATAGGCGAGAGCTCCTCGCAGGCTAACGAACATGTTGGTGATGAGTCTGGTAGCTTTGGCGTCTGCCGCCGCTCCCGTAAGTTCAGGGTGTGTGATAGGACGTAGCTGCTTAATGTACTCGCCCTGGTCCATGATCACATCCCCTTGTTCATTCTTCGTGTAAAGAACGGCGCAATTCGTGTAAACATGTTTGTGGAGCTTGCATTTACCAAACACCTTTTCGACACGTTGTACATAGTCATCTACGTTTTTCTCTAGGCCTGTCATATTGATGTCGTCAACATGTTTTGCCGTTAACAGATCCTGACTGAATTCAAACTCAGGATCGTAACTTCTCGGCGCAAGGCCTATAGCTCGTGTAGTCGTACGAAGCTTGAGGGAGAACGCTCTTGGGGCGTCCTTTGTACCCGTTCCTGGCTTGAGGCACCTGAGGCAGTGTCGGCTTCCACCGCAAGAGGAGAAACCTGGTAGTGTACGAA